ATCTCATTCATTCATGATCTATCCATTTCATTACTACATCCTCTCTCTTGATCGAGCACTGACTTAGGCATTGGAGGCCCGACGCCGGGGCCACCCCCGGCGTTGGGTTCTGCAGGTACGGAGGCCGTTCGAGTTGAAGGAGCCCGGGTGAAATTCGTTACACTCGTATTACAATCAATTTCAAATTTGTATTATAGAGGATTAAACAAAACCCAAATTTTTAGAATGTTCCAGTCCGATTTCATTTTGAATTTCAAATGATTATTATTTTACTCTGCTTTATGTTAAAACATCCTATCTAAAGAAAGTAGTATCCAAATGATAATGAATTTTTAAATTTTAAATTTCAATTTAAAAATTAGGTCTGATTTCTATGCAATCCGATTTTTTTAATAAACATGATCTATTGCAATTAGGTAAAGATACTTGTTATAATATTTTTCCTGAATCGAAATTCTCAGTTTTATGGAAAATATTTTTTTAATAAAAAATGAGAGAATTTTGACTTTTACAAAATTTTCATGTTGAATTTTACTTCAATTAACTCGATTTCTATGCAATTCGATTTTTTTTTTTTAAAAACAATTGATGTGTTGCAATTAGGAAAAGATATATGTGATAGTATTTTGCCTAATTCGAAATTCCCTATTTTATGGTAATCTTTTTTAATAAAAAATAAAAAAGAATTTTTTGACTTTTGCAAAATTGTAAGTATCAGTCGAAATTTAACTAAATTAAATCCACAAAACCCATGAATTAAGGATGCATATATTAGATCGATTTTTTGAGAATAATCTAAAAAGAAAAATAAAAAATTGTTAATAATAGAATGTAATAAATATTGATTGATTTTTTGTTACTATTTCTGGTGAATAAATATTCTGTTTATATAGATATAGATAAATATATATATATAGATAGATTGAGAAAACTTATAGACATGATTCATAAAAATCGTATTAATGGGTACACATTCATTTCTGGCACACATATTATAAGAACTAGGAAGATGAGCTTGCTCGACTTGCATAAATTATGGGAAAACCCAGATGCATACATATAGCAATCGTTTATACATTGATGAAATTTTATATCATAATTTGTTAGTATTTAGTTATATATATGCCACCATATTTAAATTGATTATCAAACAAAAAAATTGATATGGTGCTCTTTATAATGACGAAATGAGGTAATTAGATAATGTTCACAACAATAATTGATATGTAAATTGGTCTACATTCCAACTAGGAAGCACGTGCAATATTTATATACGATTATAACTGGAGATGGCCATGGTTGCGGGACCCGGCCCGGTCAGACCCGCGGTCAACGAGTCTGGGCCAACCCTGAATTCTAAAGGGCCAATTCAAGGACGACCATTTTGAAGATATGGCCCGCCGGGCCAAGTCGAGCCTGCCTGGGATAAAAAAGCAATGAGTTTGGAATCCGGGTCGGCCTGTCAGGTTGTGTACTCGGGCCGTGCCTCGGTAAAGGTTGGTTTAGTTTGCTATTTTTTAGCTTGGAGACCTGCCGGGCCGGGCCAGGCAAGGCCGGGCCGGGCCTGAGATTGGACCATGTCTAAGCATAGCTATTTGATTGTGAAGTATGTACAAACTTTATAAAAAGCTATGATGATATTATAATTAATTTTTTTTTTCTTTTTTTGGAAGTGATAGTATTTAGAATTTTAGGTACGCGGATATCCAAATTTTCACACAAACTCGAAAATTAAAATACGCAGCGGAAGATAAATAAATACGAAAGATTCAAATGTAGCCTATAAGTGAAAATAACACTTGTAGACTAAGGGAACATGCCAAAATATTCACTAGAACAAATCAATCACAATGTTTTTCAAACAACCCCAAAATATCTCCAACACGTCTAGTGAACTACGGAAAACAAAACGAGTTCAAGCGAGATACTCTATATTGAATCAAACTATCAAAAGATGAATAACACAATAATCCTAAATATGATATGCGAGTAGTAAAAAAGAACACAAGACTGGAAGGTCCTTGTTGTAATGCCCCAGTTGAATAAGGATTATTTGAGATTTTTATTTATTATTTATATTATTATTATTATTACTAATTGAGATTATTTAATGTCTAATTGCTAATTATTTGTCTAAGTGCTTGATATTGTAAATATATATTATTGTTATTTATATTAAATGTCTAGATGCCTAATTGCTATTAATTGTATAAATTGATTGTTATTATTATTAGTATTAATATTTATAGTAAATGTTTTGTTGATAGCCGAGTTGGCCTGGCTTGAACCGGATACTGAACCTCTCAGGACCGAGTTAAAGACCCGGTCTGGTGAAGAGGTGCCGAGTTGAACCGAAGGTTAAAGATGTGCAGAGCCGCCATAGGAACGTTCGCTCAGCCCGGCGCCTGGGTCAGTCAGGACAAATGCCGGCCTGGATGGGAGCCGGACAGAAAGAAGATCATTCGTGGCCTCATGAACACTTTCAACGGAGGCGCCGGTCTGAAAATCTGAGAGGGCCGGCCAGGGGGAAGGTGAAGGCTTCGATTAGCATTAAAATATTCCCATTCGGAAGGCCATCCTTGGATGATGGGACAAGTAATCATAGTCTAGCGACCTACCAGTAACCCTAATCAACAAAGCCTGCCAGCATTAAATGCTCCCCATGCTGGTATTTAATGCCTGACAGGTAATGATTAAAGAAACCTCAAATCGCATTAAATACATGTCAGAAGGGCGCCGGATTGCTCTTCAAGGTCACTGTGCGACAAGACCGGTGAACAGTAGCTGAATAGTGCCACATTAAAGACTACTATAAATAGCAGCTCATTTCATTTATTTTGGGTTGTTGAAATCCAACTAACTCTGCCTTCTCTCTACTTTCTCTCTCTAAAAACTGTAAGAAACTCGTTGTAAGAATTGTAAGTATATCGCAAGTGCCGACCTCGTACGAGAGGCCGACCTCGTGATCGCTTAATAAAGTCGTAATTAAACCGAACCATCCTTTCATTTTCAATCTTTTGCTTTCGACATTTTTCATCTTAACCGTTGACCGAAAACGCTCGTCAACAGTTTGGCGCTAGAAGGAGGGCACCATAAGTTACTTGGTGTCAATTGTTCGACCTTGTGAAATCCCGTATTCACTCACCTTCGTTCACTTCGAATCCCGTCCAAGATGACTTCATCCAGCGACAACGAGTCAACCCAGCAGTCCGGCGCTCAGCCTCGCCGGCACAACGGCGAGGAAACTTCTCGCCGCAACCAGCAAGGGACTCAAGCCCCTGTCCCTCCTGTTCCGACTTTTGCTGCCGCCATGCAGCATCCAGACGTCCTCAAAGCCCTGGAAGGAGTCTTCGCCAAGGCCCTCGCAAGCCAGGCGCCCGGGGGGAACACCGTGGCAGCCACGGACAATCCCATCAACACCCTGCTCCAGACCCCCGACAAGGAGGCCGGGGGGCAGCAAAAAAAACCCGCCAAATCCAAGACGACAGCTCAATCACCCAATCGCACTGCCCAAGCCCGGCGCGAGAAAAACGCCAGGCCGGCGCCCACTGAACAGACTGGCGAAAGCCAGCCAGACCGGAGCCTCCAGGTCATACGTCGCTCCGTGTATCAGCGCTTGGGTGACAAAACCCAGGCCAACCGCGACCTCAGGGACGTGATTGAGCGAGGCAAAAACATTGGGCGCGACGCGGACAAAGTCGCGGCCCTCAAGCGCAGAATCGTCGAACTGGAAGGTCGGCGCTCTCCCCTGAGGGCTACATCGCCTCCCCACTACTCGCAACCCGTTCCTCGGGTCGTGGACCACGCCTCCCCCCTCTCTCCCGACATCCTGTGCGAGCCCGTGCCCCAGAAAATCAAGGTGCCGCAGCTCGGACTTTATGATGGAAACTCGGATCCCGACTCCCACATCGGCCTTTACACCTCATGGATGGACCTGCACGGCGCGACAGACGCCTTACGCTGTCGCATGTTTTCCCTGACCCTAGGACCGAAGGCGCAGAGATGGTACCATTCTCTATATCCACACTCTATCTGCACTTGGGGCCAGCTCAGTCGGCATTCCGATCGCACTTCATCGGATCACAAATTAGCCTGGCCCCCAAGGAATCAATCGCCAACATTGTCCAAGGCGAGGACGAGAGCCTGAAGGACTATATCACCCGGTTTAACGACCGAGTTCAAAATATGGAATAGTGTCATCCCGAGACCCTGCTCGTCTCCGTGCAGGCCGGGCTAAGGCCGAAAACCCTGTTTAAATGGTCCTTGTGCCAGAACAAGCCAGCCACCTACCAAGAATTCATCGTCAAAGCCCAAAATTACATTATGGCTGAGGAATCCTCGTCCATCCCGGTGCTGCACGCCGCGACAAGCAAGGACAAGAATAAAGACAAATCAGGGAGCCCGACAAGACATTCGCTGAGGTGCGGGCCATGAGGAGACAGAGAGCAGAGGAGCTCAAAGAAAGCTTCCAGGGCGTTTTCTCCGTTGGTGCTGCCGCGGTCTACGAGGAGATCAAAGCGAAGGGCTTGTTGCCGGACCCGAAACCCATGTTCACCGACAAAGACATGGTGGACAAGTTCCGATACTGCGCCTACCACAAGGCACATGGACACAACACAGACCAGTGTCGTAACTTGATCGCGGCACTGCTCAAGCTGATTGACGACCCTCAAGTCAAGAAGTTCACTCACTCTGGTGAGAAGAGAAAGAAGGGAGGCCGCTTCGGGGATGGCCTCGACAGCGACGAAGATGCTGACATGAACCCCCGGAGGAAAAAACCACAGCAGGGCGCGCCTAATGAGATCCTAATGTTCAATCCGACCCATCAAGGTGAGTCCGGCACCTTCGCAGGAAGAAAAAGAGATCGATCCCCGCGGTCGGGTACCGACCTGGCTGATTTCTCACCCCGGCGCGTGAACACAAGCCGGGGTGAATCCCTCATTTCGAGGAGGCAGACAAAGGCCTACGCCCGATAGGCTTATTATGCCGGGCAGAGAGTGATGCACGCTGGAAGCAGACCGGCAGCTGAGCCGACGCCCAACAAAATATCCTTCACTGATGAGGATGCGTTCCTGTTCAACCATCCCCACTCGGACGCCCTAGTGATCACGGCCCCAATAACGGCGATCAAGATCCACCGAATAATGGTTGACACCGGGGCCTATGCGAGCATCCTGTATTACAACACGTTCAAGAAAATGGGGATTGACAGGAAGGAAGTGCAACCCTGCCGGGAGCAGATCCAAGGGTTTAACGGTCAAATGACAACCCCCGTTGGTCAGGTAACGCTGCCGATCAAGTTCGGGGAGAAGGGGCAGCCCACGCGAACAATTCTGGAAACTTTCAAGATAGTGGACTGCCCGAGCGAATACAACGCCATCCTGGGCAGGACGGCTCTCTACAAGCTGAGGGGAGCCATCTCTATTTTCTATTACTCCATCAAGTTCCCGACCTTGGACGGGGAAGGGACTCATCGGGGAGACCAGAGAGAAGTGCGGGAATGCGTCTTAACTATCCCTCGAGCGGAAATCAACGCGGCGAACTCCGCTCCTGAAGCTGGGACGAATATAACCACGTCCCGCGAAGAGGAAGAGGGCAACCGCATGCTGGGAAACCAGACAGGTTCGCCCCTCCTGATCATGCCAAGTGCCGGACAGGTTGTTGAAAACACCGAGGTGGAAGGAGAAACAGATGTCGAGGGGGATCATATGGACCCAGATACCGAGGTGGTTCACCCCGGCCCGGGAGACGACCACATGCTGAAAATCCAGATAGGTCCGCTCCCCTAGGCCGGGACGAGCGCCGAGCAGGAAAAAGGGGCCGAGCCCGATCTGGACCAGGATAGGGGTCGAAGAGCCGGAAAGGAACCGATGTCGGAAGAGGACGAGCTTGACCCGCGAACCCAATACGAAGAAAAGAGGGGCACAAAACGGGTCGAGCCCATGGACGAGGTCGAAATCATCTTCATCAATGAGGAGACCTGCCAGAAGCAACTTCGGATCGGCAGTAAACTGCCAGCGCCATTGAAGGCCGAGCTAGCCAGTTTCCTTCGAGAAAATGCGGACGTATTCGCGTGGACCCATGAAGACATGGTCGGCATTGACCCGAAGGTCGCCTGTCATAGGTTGCAGGTCGACCCCACAGTCAGGCCGGTCGTTCAAAAGAGGAGGAAGCTGGGGGCAGACCGACAGCAGGCTCTTGAAGAAGAAGTGATCAAGCTCAAGGACAATGACTATATTCGAGAAGTCCGGTACCCAACCTGGGTTGCCAACCCGGTACTGGTAAAAAAAGGAAAGTGGGGCATGTCGTCTTTGCATCGACTTCTCCGACCTCAACAAGGCGTGCCCCAAAGACAGCTACCCCTTACCCCACATTGATTATATGGTGGACGCCACCTCGGGGCATGAACTGATGAGCTTCATAGACGCATATTCCGGCTACAACCAGATCCCGATGCACCCGGATGACGCCGAGCACACCTCTTTCTATTCGGCACGCGGACTCTACTGCTACACCATGATGCCGTTCGGGCTGAAGAATGCCGGGGCCACATACCAGCGCTTAGTCAACAAGATGTTTGCTAGTTTGGTAGGTGTTAGTATAAAAGTGTACGTAGATGACATGTTAGTCAAATCTGTGTATGCATCCGACCATGTAAACGACCTTAATAAAATGTTTTCTATTTTGCGTGATTACAACATGAAGTTAAACCCCAAGAAATGTACTTTCGGTGTCGGCTCGGGAAAGTTCCTGGGATACATCGTTAGTCAACGCGGCATCGACGCCAATCCCGAAAAGATCAAGGCCGTCCAGGATCTCTGGCCGCCGACCTCAATTAAAGGGGTACAAAGCCTAACTGGCAAGCTTGCCGCCCTCAGTCGATTCATCTCGATTTCGACAGACCGGTGTAAACCGTTCTTCGACGCAATCAAAAAGAATCACAAGTTCGAGTAGACTCCAGAGTGCCAGCAAGCATTGGAAGCCATCAAAGAAACCCTGAGCCGAGCTCCAACCATGCAAAAACCCCGACCTGGAGAGATACTTTTCCTTTATTTGGGAGTCTCCGACGTGGCAGTCAGCGCCGCCCTCATCCGAGAGGACGAGTCATCCCAACACCCTGTCTACTATGTCAGCGAAGCACTTCACGATGCCGAGCTGCGATACCCGCCGATGGAAAAACTCGCGTTCGCCTTAGTGACCGCCGCGCGAAAATTAAGGCCGTATTTCCTCGAGTATTCGATCACTGTGCTCACCGCCTACCCGCTGAAGCAGATTCTTCACCGGCCTGACACGTCAGGCTGGATGGTGAAGTGGGCGGTGGAGCTGGGGCAGTACGACATCCATTACCGACCCCGAACAACAATGAAGGGGCAGGTACTATCGGACTTCATCGCCGAATTCACGCCGGGACTCAGAGAAACGAGCGAACAACCTTGGTTGATGTACGTGGATGGATCCTCCACTGCCGGACGAGTAGGCGGAGGAGTCGTCCTCGTGGATCCCCACAAAAAGCTCTTTTGCCACTCGATACAATACCTCTTCCCGACAACCAACAACGAAGCCGAATATGAGTCATTGCTATCCGGGCTCGCCTTGGCAGAAGCCATGAGTCTAACCGACCTCATCATATACTCGGATTCCATGCTGATGGTTAAGCAGATATCTGGAGAGTTCGAAGTAAAGGAGCCAAGATTGGTCCCATACGTGGGGTTGGTGAAGAAGAAGCTAGCCAAAATCCGGGCCAAAATAGAACACATCCCTCGGACAGAGAACGTACAAGCCGACGCCCTGGCCCGCCTCGCCTCAAGTGTCGGGGTGGAAAGCGTCGAGTATGTCCAGGTCGGACACAAAGAACAGCCATCCGTATTCGTCACTTCCGTGTTAAGTGCCGAGCAGGGGGTGGAAGATCAAGATCCGGGCTGGATGGTCCCAATCCGTTCGTATCTCAAAGCCGGTGTGTTGCCGCCGGACCCAAAAGAGGCCAGGCAGCTTCGTACTCGAGCAGCCCGATTTACAATCGTAGCCGGAGAACTGTTCAAACGGGGCCACTCGGCACCTTTGCTCATGTGCGTAGATGAAAGGAGCGCCGAGTACATACTTAAAGAAATCCACGAAGGCGTATGCGGGAACCACTCAGGAGGGTACGCCCTCGCACACAAGGTCCTTAGACAAGGCTACTACTGGCCGAGTCTGAAGAAGGACGCCCTTGACCAGGCCCGCAGATGTACGAAATGTCAAACCTTCGCACCCAACATCATCCAACCGTCGCAACCTCTAAAATCGATCCTCAGCCCGTGGCCATTCGCCAGGTGGGGTGTCGACCTGATCGGCCCCCTTCCTACCGGAAAGGGCGGGGTGAAATACGCGGTGGTCGCAGTGGATTATTTCACGAAGTGGGCAGAAGCCGAACCGCTTGCTACCATAACAGAACAGAAAGTGATAGATTTCTTATGGAAGTCCATCATATGCCGATTCGGAGTACCGAACTCAATCATCACCGATAATGGCAAGCAATTTGAAGGGAGGAAGCTGGAGTCGTTCTGCGAAGAACACCACATCAAACACTTCTTCTCGACACCCTACCACCCCCAGTCTAACGGCCAGGTCGAGGCAGTAAACAAAATAATCAAACAAGGGCTCAAGGTCCGGCTTGAAGTCGCGAAAGGGGCCTGGCCGGAAGAACTCCCGGGCGTACTCTGGGCCTACCCCATAACGGCCAGATCGTCAACCGGCGAAACGCCGTTCTCACTGGCGTATGGGTCTGAAGCCATGATACCAGTCGAGCTCGACGCCCCAACGTTTCGAGTAACCAACTTCGAGGAAGAATCCAACTCTGAGTCGCTGAGAGCCAACCTGGACCTGATTGACGAGCACAGGACGCAGGCCGAACTGAAAAATGCGGCGTACAAGAGACGGAGCAAAAGATACATCAACTCTCAGGTCAAACCGCGCTCGTATCAGGTCGGCGACTTGGTGCTCAAAAGGGTGACAGGGCCCGATCCCGGACCCCTCAAGCCAAAATGGGAAGGGCCATACAAAATCCGCGAAGTTCTCCCTCACGGGGCCTATCGCCTCGAGCATCTCGACGACACCCCCCACCAATACCCTTGGAACTCGGCGTTTCTGAAGAAGTTTTACCAGTAGGCCTAGACCGACCTGTTGTAACTCCTTGTAATCTTTTTTGTAATGAAGTACACGTTGCAAAAATGTATCCCCCTCTTATTACTCACGATAGATAGGAGACTTAGACATAGATCGAGTCTGAGCGGCGTAAGGATCGGTGTTGGCCAGGATCAGTACGATGACCTGGTCGGCACCTCATAAAGATGTAAGGATCGGTGTCGGCCAGGATCAGTACGATGACCTGGTCGGCACCACATAAAGACGTAAGGATCGGTGTCGGCCAGGATCAGTACGATGACCTGGTCGGCACCTCATAAAGACGTAAGGATCGGTGTCGGCCAGGATCAGTACGATGACCTGGTCGGCACCTCATAAAGACGTAAGGATCGGTGTCGGTCAGAATCAGTACGATGACCTGGTCAGCACCTCATAAAGACGTAAGGATCGGTGTCGGCCAAGATCAGTACGATGACCTGGTCGGCACCTCATAAAGACGTAAGGATCGGTGTCGGCCAGGATCAGTACGATGACTTGGTCGGCACCTCATAAAGACGTAAGGATCGGTGTCGGCCAGGATCAGTACGATGACCTGGTCGGCACCTCATAAAGACGTAAGGATCGGTGTCGGCCAGGATCCGTACAATGACCTGATCGGCACCTCGTAAAAACATTGCATCGGCCAGGATCAGTACGATGACCTGGTCCGAAGTGACAAGCAAGTGCCGACATCAAACACGAGCTCGGCACTGTAACTAATAACGGCGAGCCCGATTACGAGGCTCGGCCCAAGTGGGAAATGTGCCGAGCTCAATCGCGAGCTCGGCACCGCGAGTAATAGCGCCGAGTCTGATCTCGGAACCCAGACAACCAAAAATCAACAATCATGAAATAACCAAAAGGCACAAACATATTTAAAAACCAGTGCGGCAAAATCGTAATACTTCAAAAGTTTACAAATTCACATTCAATAAAACGAATACAAAATCCAGACCACACCCGGTCAATCCAACGGCACGCAGGCCGGCAAATAAGCAAAAACTACAGACCCGACTCCGAGGGCCGCTCCTCAGGCGCGAGCTCGGCCTCCTTGTCCACACCGGAAGTGCCGGCCTCGCCCTCACCCGCCTTCCTCGCCGCCTCGGCCTCAGCCGCTGCCTTCGCCGCTTCTTCGGCTTCCTCCATCTCGCCGACGACTGTCAGGACGGCACCCCGGCGAGGTTGGAATTTAGGATCAGGATCGGCAGCGGGCAAGAAAGGCTCGTACTCCGGCAGCAACTCCCCTGGCGCAAGCCGCCACGTCTCGGAGCACGGGATGGCGCCAAGCCCTTGGAAGCCAACAACCACGTCGTGGGCCCAGCCCTTAAGCCGGTGAACCACGGTAGCCTCGTCCTCGTCGACCTCGCAGACGAGCCCCTCGCACTCGACCCCGAGCCTCGCCGCTTTCTCAATGAGGATCGTGCGGAAGTCTTCGAGAGAGAGCACCCCGGCGTCAAGCCGTTGGAACAACCAATGAAGGTTGAAGACGGCCGACCTGTCCATGCAATCTCTTATGTCCTCGAAATACTGGACGGAGACTTCCGCAAAAGTCAGGGGTGGAGGCAAAGCGATGGGCTCGCCGTCTATCTGCTTGGCGGCCTCCTTCAAAAGGCAGACCTGGGCAGACATCCTGTTGCCGTAGTCAACAAGCTGGGACCTCGTCTCCTCATGCTTCCGAGTGAGCTCGGCGATCTCAGCAGCATGGAGCTCCGCGAGGTGGACGAGTTCGGCCTTGTGCCTCTCTTCTATGGCGGTGATCTCTTCAGCTCGGCCTCTCCTCTCTCGGGTCAGCTCGGCTTCATGGCGAGCCTCCAAATCGGCTAACCACTCGGCCCACCCCGCCCTCTCGCGGGCTAGATCCTCCACGGCCTTAGCCGCGGTCTCCTCCGCCTTGGCCGTTGCCCCCTGCTGGAGGACGAGCTCGGCCTCTAGCCTTCCGACACGGCTCACCTCGTCCTTCAGCTCGCTGACTCTCCCCTTGTAGGTAGCCAAATCCTCCTCGGCTTTATCATGGGCGGCCATCTCCTTAAACATGGCCTCGTGGGCGTGCATCAGCTCCACCATGGCCCGCCCCATTGATGCCACAGAGTGCTGGATTAACTGTGGGGGGGAGAGCATCCCAGTCGCCACCTCCGCCACAGGAGTCCAAGCTGACAGCACGGCTTTCGCAGCAGAGGTTGCCTGCGGCGGATGCTTGAACCAGTTGGGCAGGTCAAAAGGAATCGCCGAGCAGGCATCGACAAACCACCAGTCTGGGAAGTTGGCCAAGCTTTTGGAGAGCGACGCCCGCCTTTCCGGATTCATCGGAACGTAGGTG